CAACCAGTCTTGCCAACATTAATTTTACTGTAATTTGAGCCGTTAGTTGAAATGAATTGTAACATTTTACAATAAAGATATATAATAAAAAAAACATGAACTGTCAGGAAAAATGCCAAACACACTCACAAAGTTGACCTCCAGGGTCTCCTTGCGGGGTCGCATTTTAATAGCGAAGGCCTGGGCTTTGAGGTGACGCTGCTTCCTGCTGAATCCGTCATCTAAAAATAAGGAAAGTGCCGGTTAGCGGATAGGAATGTTCATAGTATTGTTGTTTTCCTGCTCTTTGTTTGTGCTAAATACAGGTCAACAGAAAAGCGAGCCTTACCAGCTGATAGAATTCCCAAGTTGACCATCTTGGGACTTGTGCTGAAGATCTTTAGGCCTTTAGGCTCCTTGTTTTCCCTCTGGAAGAAAACAACAGCAGCAGAGTGAGAAACAGCTAACCAATCAGAGAAGACTGGGCTCTGCAGCACAGGCTGTATGACAAAAAGAAAGACTACAGAGCATACAGAATACAGAGCACAAGAAGGATGCATTTATTTATGTTTTAAAAATGTAAAATCTCTACCTCAGATTTAAGGCGCCTGGAGCGTCTCTCAGGCAGGAGCCTCTCTTTGGCCTGCATCGCATCCCCGTCTCCATCTTTCTCATCCTCCTCATCCAGCTCCTCTTCTTCCACCGACTCCTCGCCGACTCCCTCGTCCACATCTTCCCCATCATCACATTCCTCATATAGCCGCTGGATGCCCTAATTGGAGAAAGAGTGAAACCAAATGAGGGTTCTGGAAACATTTACAAATGTCTCTATTGTGGGTTTTGAAGAACAGGGTACTTTATTGTTGGGATATCTTGCCTAGAGCTGTTTGAAGTGAGGCCAAGACTTACATTTGAGAAGGACACTGAGAACAGCCAAATCGAAATGAGCTCAATGGTTAACAAAAAGTCTATTAACCAGATGACAACACACACTCACAAAACAACTTTCAAAAATGTTTGTTTTGTGTAAGGTTGTCAACGTTAACGCACTTGCAATGAATCTGGAACCCTTTACATGTCAAATAAATCAGCCCATATTAATCCCATTACCAAGTTTGTCCCCAACGTCCTCAGGTAATCAACCACATTGTAACCGCTGTGTTTTACGTATGAATGTGTGTCAGAGCTCCTATACTGAGTTAGTGTTAGCTTGTTAATCGAGCAGCACTCACAGTGAGCGTGGCCCCCGACTGGAAGAGTTCGTATGGATAGAGGATCCTCTCGTAGTGGGAGCGCAGCAGGGAGCCGGTGCCTTTCCCCGCCGGGAAGCCCATCCTGCCGGCCACCTTGGACCACCTCTTCTCTTTGCACACCGCCTCAAAGCCGCCCTCTGAGGACACAGTCTGAAACAAATAACACTTCTTATGAGCCACATGTACTATTTTACAATTGTTGTTACTGGCTGCCTGTCACTTCCTCTGTTATACCTTAGTTAAAGAGACAATTACTTCGGTGCAATATACCCTTTCTCTGCAATGTGTTCATGTTATTATTACTTTAACAGTTTTATATGATCACTTACGTTCTTAAAAATGCTGCCACTTACAATTTCTTACCATTCATTTATAGTTGATTGTATTTTATTAACGTGTGCCGCCTCTTTGTTTAATATGTGAGCCTACTAACGCCACATTTTGCTCTAACACTTATAAAGGATTTCTGATTCTGAAACACCAAAAGGGCTGTTTTGACGAGCATCAGGGAAGGAGTTCAAATCAGCAAAGATTAAGGAAACTGGCACTGTCATATGATCAGACAAAAAAACAATGGAGCATTCAAAAAAAGTTGCTGTATTTCACCTTGCTGAGTTGATAGAGGTCCAACACTTTTCTCTCCACATGAGGGAATCTGGTCTTGGATCCCTGCAGCTCCCAGAACTTTGCGATTTGATCCAGGAAGTTGAGTTTAACCCGAGTGAGGGCCTGGAGAATTAGAGGAGAGAGGACACTTGTCAGTGCACTTAATTGTTTCTTAAGGCATATTTTCTCCGTTTGGGCTATATTTATTGAGTCTTTATTGTCTAATCCTGTATTATGACCTTCATATGCATCAGTGTTAGTGGGAAATAGACTACGAAAATTACATATCTCAAAAGGAAAACGGCACAAGTCAGTAAATCATATCTAAATATGTAAAAACACATTCTGAAAGTTCCTAAGACATGCCTTTAATGAAGGGTTGCTGGCATCTTCTTGGCAGACTCACCTCAAGTTCATTCAGTCTCTGCACTCGCGGAGTGAAGCGGAAGTTGCGTACATCGCAGGCAAACGGAGGCTGCCAATCCTGATAGACAAGAAAAAATAATCCTTAACAATGAGTAAATGAGAGCACTTGATAGAGCAGGACTTATCTAATTAGTGACTAATATTACCCATCGTCATACTGTCAGAAAAGTGCAGTCAAGTCTTTTTCTACGGGACCTGTGCACAAATACTGCACTTTCAAAAAATTTTTTTTAAAGAAGTGTGTTCATGTTGGTAAGGTTTTTGACAATGATGGTGTTGTTGTTATGAGACATTTTCAGTGAACAAAGCATGTGACCAAATACCTCTATAACATCTGAATTATGCTCATGACTTGCTGCTATGTGTTCTTCTGGTTTGTTAATGCTTGCAATAACTGACTCTATTTATGAATGATGGCCAGTAGCCAAAGACATTTTTGAGTAAAAGGTTATGTGTAAAATACTACAGAACAATTGCCCTGGCTAGGATACTTTGAGAATAACAACTTTTCCTCGATATGATTCCAAATATATTTCAGCTGCTGACAGTCAATTTGGTTTTAAATGTGAACGAGGCACAGATATATGTATATATGCGGTTATGGTAGATTTTAGTTAGGAGGATGGAAGAAACTACAAAACGACAGTGTTTATTTGTTTCTGGGATACGCTCAAAACTTTTGATAAATGTTTTTGTTAAACTAAAAAGCAAGGGAACCCTATATTTGTTACACATATTGCACTTTTTATAATAGCAGCAAACCATGCAGCTTTCATCTGTAAATAGATGACCTTTCTATGAAGTTAAGAGTGTTATAATGGATGAATGTTAGGGGAAAGTGATATTCTACCATCTGATTTGCTAGAATTAGATGTCCTGTCATCTTAATCTACTAACAGCAATTGCTCATGTGTGCAGTATTGCTGTCTACAGTCACACAACCTAACAGTGAAAAGTCTGCTAGTGTAACCACAGTATTTAATAAGGTATACATATGGGTTTTAATGGTGTGACAGCAGCGACAGGCCTGTCTGTGGCCCAATGTCGCATCCTCAAAGCTAATGTAATAATCACTCTGCTGTTAACTTAGCTAGCCATGAGGAAAACAAACAAAGACATTGTAACCGGAACTGTTGAGTTTACTTCGTCTTTGGCCAACTTTCATGGACAATAAAGGAACCCATTGTCACTTTAGTATAAAATGTGTTCCGGTGAGTGCAAATAAATAAAGCCTTATATGACCTCTATTAGATTAATGGTAACTAGTAACGTCGTTGCTTAAGGCCCAAGCAAACCACCACTCCTTACTAAGGAGCATATGAGGCACATCCATGCATAATGGAATACAATCTCTTTTTAAAATGATATGTGAGTTTACCTCGGGGGGTCGGATCTTGCAGATTCCCGTTTTCTCTGCAATGGGTCGGATCTTGTTGATAAATCCTAAAGGATCAGAGAAATCCTCCCAACTCGGCTCAAAAACGGGGCATTCCGGAGGGGGGACGAACTCTGCAAATGCAGACATGTTGGTGTGGTACAAGTGAAACAGTCTTTAAAAATAATGGGTAATTAAAAAATGGTTGAGCTCAACAGTCCATGATTAAGTTCCAATAATATCCGTCTTTGGGAAGTTCCTCCATCATGATCCTTCAAATCTCCCCAAAAAACGAATCAATGCAATGACAGGGCATCCCGATCACTGATCATATTCCGGTTAAAAGTGAAAGCCAAAAAAAAAATACAACAACCGAGCTGCTAATGATCAATGTTTCCCATCTTCCGTCAACAGCGGGCCGGGCCAAGCCGGGGAGTCTTCAGCTCCACCACTCCCCTACCTGGTCACTCCAAAACACCATCATTTCTTCCCACATACATCCTCTATGCAGGGCCAGGGAGGATCACTGAATTTGAAAATAAGTTTGTAAACAAAAGCACCCGTCTTGATAGTTAACGTCACAATGTAGGCTGCGATATTATGTCACGCAAGCTAACATTGCTATTGCTCCGTTTATGTACCTGGATAATGCATGATTTCTTCGTGATGCTTCATTTCAAACAAAGTTATCCACTGTTGTCTTAGTCCCGACGATAGCTCGGTTCATTCGCTAACGTAACTACGCTCCTTCCTTAAATAAACTACGTCCACGTCTCTGAGAACCTGATAGCTAATGTACCAGACAAGCTGAACCACAACAAGGAGGAGGCTAGTACCAAGCGTACATTGTTGACTGGTGTGCCCCCATTCATTAAAGCAATGAAAACTAGCATACAGCTAATTTGCTAAAAGCAACTTAGCCACTGCTGCTCATTGCGCAGCTAGCATTGACGTTAGCCGAGATAGTCGACTGAACAGGAATCAGAAAACACGCTTTAGTACTTTTGCTTTGTTTTACTGGGTGTCCTTTTCCGTATAATTTACCGTCGTCTGTACGTAGTGTATCCGCATTAGCCGTCGTGCTAGCAAAAACTAGCCAGGCTGGAATAGCTGTTATGGTGCCTTCAGTAACACTCGGAAACCTTTTTACTACTTCCGAGTTCGCTGGTTGTATAAACGGCAACATGCACCCACTCGCACAACTAACAACGGCAAATGGCTGCTGGTAAGCCTTGAATCAGAAAAACACAAGGGAAACAATGACAATAAGGACCTTAATTAGGAGAAAAAATTGCAACCAAACGTTAATGTGTTGTTGCGTTACTTTCTATCGGCACGACTCTAATATTTCCTACGGCACGTTAAGGTAGCATTATTTATTTGATTTATTATTTGCTTTCATAGTGCCCTGTTCATGAATACATTGTTACAACAATACAATTCAAATTGGCAATTGTTCTAGAGCAAAACATTTCAGTTTTACATTTACATCATACATTGTTTCCTCTACTTCTCTCTCGTTCTCTCTCAGACGAGAAGCTGTATCATGAAATAATGAAAATCTGTTCTCTGAAGTTGCTTTAATCAATGAAGTTGTATAAAAGAAATGTTTCATAACATGTACAATAAGAGTCCTACTATCAAAATCATGTTCAAAATAAAGCACAACACGTTGGAAAAAGCAATCAAGTTAATAAGCCAATTTACTTTTATCACATTTAATAGAAGTCTTGACATCTGTTGCATCTAGTAGTCATCATGGAATGGATACTCTGGGTGATCTGACCACCTGTTGAGTAAAAAAAACCGTAATTATTTATTTATAACACTAACCAAACATCAGTATGCATTGTTAAGTATGCTCTATACTCACATGAGAAGCTCTACAAATCGAATATTCTTGTTCAATCCTTCAATTGCCTTCATCTCAGCCTCGGAAAGAGAGAAGTCGAATATCTGGAGGAGTTAGAAAACAGATCAATGGCAACATGATAGGATGAATTTTCAGAGGTTATTTTCCGCATGAATGTGCCATGAAACAAACCTGAAAATTTGTTTTAATGCGGACAGGGTCAAAGCTCTTGGGGATGACCACCACTCCTCTCTGCACGTTGAACCTCAAGGCCACCTGGGCTGTTGTGTTGTTATACTTTTTAGCAATCGATGCCAGGAGTTGATCCTCCAACAAAGGTGGACATTTTAGGTTCACCCTGTTGAAATAAATTATATAATACTATGACACAGCACATGTTATGTTTAAGGTTAAATACAAATGTATAGTTCAAAGGTCATAGTTGTGCATTAAAGCTTAGAACAAAGTAACATTTGATAATAAATGTGATTATTTTGATTTTCTCTTAGATTTAAAAAGGCTTTATTGGTTGAATATACTGAGTCTCAAGCTCCTTGAGCAATGCAACATACAATATCATTCACATAATACTAAAAGAAAAAAATATGTCCCATACCATGATGCATCTCTAGATGTCCCCAATGGACTGTATCCAACAATAACGATATTTTGCTGCCGGCAAAACTCAAGCAACTTGGGCTGAGTAAAATAGGGATGACATTCAACCTAAAAAAAATACAGAATTACTTTGAGTATTAGTCCTGTATTTATGTCCCAATGTTGGTAGTCTATGTGTTTTGCATATAGGTCACTGACATAAGGGCATTTTCTTGGCTTTGTCAGATAGTCCATAGTTTAATGTTCTTTTTATTGGATTTGCCTTTTCCCCAGAACAAATATGCGTTATTATCCTGTCTGTACCTGGTTGGACACAGGCTTGTGTTTTAGCCCAGGTTTGTTGAGGATCAACTCCAGTTGTCTCTTGTTGAAATTGGAGACTCCAAGAGATTTTACCAGCCCTGCATCTTTGCAAGCCTCCAAAGCCTTTCAAAATAAATAATGGGAAACCAATTAGACTGAGCAGAAATCCTTTAGACGCACACAGCACAAGATATGAGCGTCATAAAAGTTTGCTGTCCTTGAGCAGATAAGGTTGGAGGCGACATTTTTAAGTATGCACAGCTAAAGTAAAGTCCGTGTTTACCATAAATGATTCACAAACCATTCTCACCTCCCATGTAGCACAGAGATCTGTCTCGTGATAAATGCACTTTCCGTTCTCATCTTTGGGGTAAAATGTATCTCCTGGCTGCAAAATAAATAAATATTATAATACCATTTTTTTTTTTTAATGCAGTCTTTAACAATCTCAACAAATGTTTTATTAGATGCATGAATACCTTGAAGGCTGTGGGCATTTCTACAATATAGAGGTCGACATAATCCAGCTGTAATGTCTTCAAAGTTTTCTCCAAAGCGGGTCGAACCAAATTCGGGGAATGGAATGTGTTCCACAGCTTAATAATCAGTACAGATTAACAGTTAATAAATGTTGTGATAATGTATCAGTGGTAATGAAGGTTGTTTTGGGTAAAAGTTTTCAAACCTTTCCACAGTAGAAGATGTCCTCTCTCTTCACAGTTCCATCTGCAATTTTCTCCCTTATAGCTTGTCCCACCTCATGTTCATTGAAATAGACTAAAGCTCCATCAAGGTGTCTGTACCCTGTTTCAATAGCCAGTTTGACTGATTCATATCCAGTTCCTTTAGGGGTCTATAAAACAAATGAAAACTCTTGAGTAAATAATACTTTTGAAGAAGTGACAGATGAATTTGTGTTTATGACTTGCAGGCAAAATATGAATATATGTCCTACAAGCAACCTAAATAATGTGTCTTACCGTGCGGGGATCCCCATAAGTTCCCAGTCCTATCAAAGGTATGCTGTTTCCATCACTCAGAGGAACAGAGTGGCTCTCTGCTGTTAAGCCCATGCTCAACAAAGAGCGAGTCTTCAAGGCTAGACCGAGTGCTGCTGTCAGTGTATTTGTATAAGACTCATATGTCCAACATTTAACATGTGAGTGACTGTTATCTTACTGCTCGATCAAAACAAGAGGCTCCTCCTAGTCCTTTTTTGCTTAGTATCCTCCCACATGAACTGGCTTCAATAAAGTGTTGGTCCCTAAAGGCAAAATACTGAGTTGATACAAACTGTATCTGTTATTTTTACTTTTCGTTTTAAATTCACGTCTAGCTACTAAATGTTCTCAGACAGAATGGTGTTGCCTTAACCATTGTGGGAAATTATAATTTTGATTTTTAGGTTTGTAATTCCCATGCTATACTTCCCCTTCGGTCTGCCACACCTTCTTAAGACTGCAATGTTGTCACGATCTGTCTGTATTGTATTTTTGTCTTGTCTTTTTCTGTCTTTCGTTTCATGTTTTATTTTTAAAGGTCTTCACCTCCTGTCTTGCCTGTTTCTGTCTGTGTTGTGTCTTGTTTAAATTGGTCTGTGGTTCCCTGTCGTTAGTTTCCCTGGTGTGTCTAATTTACCCGATTGTGTTCACCTGGTGTCCCTGTGTTTTCTCCTCCCTCCTCACCTGTGTCTTGTTTGTGTGATTAGTCTTGTGTGTATTTGAGTTCTGGGTTTTTCTGTCTGTCTTTGTCGGTTCGTCTTGTGTCATGACTAGTTCTTCGGTGAGTGTTCTGTTTTGTCTTTGTTTATCTGCGCCTAGCCTTGAAATAAAGGAGTTTTTCAGTTTATATCTGCATTTGGGTCCTGCCTGATTCACACACCGTAACAAATGTAAATTATTCCTAGTTGAATCCCTCTCGTCTGGCCATTTTTCAATGGATGTAATATTACTTTTGATTGACTGTTCCCCTCTGCTTCCTTTATATTTTTCATATTTTGTTCTTGCTATTTAGTTTGAACTGGGTCAGATCTTGATCTACATTGCTGTCCTTCCAGCTGGAAATAGATTGATTCTGTTAAATGCTTTAACTCTTTCTTAAATAACACAACTTTGGTTTAAACTTGTAGATTTGTTCCTTTCTTACCAGAAGGTGATTAAGTGTGGAATTTCTTAGCACCGTGAATTGATTACCGAAAGTGCATTATATAACACTCATTTTTCTAATGTTTTGCACTAACATGTTTCAAACATAGTTAGAAAGCACTTTTAACTAGAAAAAAAAATTAGCTTAAGAAAACAGCAACTAAACAAATTATATAACAAACTTAGGCAATAAAACATAAATGAAATCACGGGCACGAACCCGCCGCCCTTTCTAATAATTATGACAAAACAACAGTAGCTGTAGTGGAGAGTTAGAGATAACTCAGTGTTGGCACTAGTTTTGTGTCTATCACTAGGTTCACCCAGGTGTGTCGGCCAGAACACCACTTAAGGCCAAATGTCCAGAATAAAGGAAATGAGGAGCTACGATGAGGTTTGACTTCTTTACTTATTTAGGCAGACATACAGATATTTGTCTGTGTGTGTGGTCTTTCATTCATTTACGCACACAATACGAAGCTTAAGACGGCATAACTACTGACACACATTACCCTCTGATGTGTGACGTCACCCAAAACATGTGGGTTAGCCCCTCCCCACTATGAAGGCACAACTTAACAGGTATCAACTCTGTATAACAAAATAATATATATATATCAATAACCACAACTTTGGGGCCTTTTCTACAGCCGCCCCCAAATGTATATAATACATTTGCTCATCAATAAAGGCAACAAAGTCCTGAGGCTTGGATGTGATGGCAGGAGTAGAACTGTCCTACATCTTCTCCAGATGGAAGTGCAGGGAGGATCACCAGTCTGGCAACTGGTCGGGTGTAGACTCTCTCCTTGACCTTCATGTCGGCAGACCTTATATGTCCGTCGCTGCTTGGATGCGTCTTGACAACTGTCCCTATGGGCCATAGGGCTCTTGGAAGATGTGGATCAGCGATCATCACCACGGCGTCCTCTTTGATGTCGGCAGGTGTAGCTTGCCACTTCTGACAAGCTTGAAGACTCGGCAAGTAGAGCCTCATGAATTGAGCCCAGAAGTGGTCAGCAAGAACTTGGGAGTGTTTCCAACGGCGGCGACTTATGAGCTCGCTCTCCGGATAGACTACCTGGGGTAGTGAACCATCTGGCCGCCCCATCAGAAGAACATTAGGAGTCACTGGATCTGGGTCGCTGGCATCTGAAGACACATAACCCAAGGGCTTACTGTTGAGGATCAGAAGCTTAGTCATCCAATGACCTGGGTCTAGGATGATAGGGTGAAGAGCTGTCAGTTCCAGGTCTTCTGCCCGACGTGGTCTTCCTCCAACATGGATGAGTTCTCCACTCTCATCTAACTCCGGAAACAGAGTGAGGAGTCGACTGCTTCGAAGAACTGGCTTACCAGCTTTCAGTAGGCTGCACTCTTGTGGGAAGCTATCCCTCTGAACCCTCTGGAGGATCAACCACTCAGCTTGACGGACGTCTTCAGCAGTAGAGGGGTCGTTGGATTTGGCCGCCCCATGCAGCTCTTGAGGTAGCAGCGGGTCATCCCATCCACAATGTTTATCCCATAGGTGCCTGCCGAGTATTTAGCTCAACACTGGTAGAGCGACTCTCTTCTGGTAGGTGACTGATGACCTCTGGTTGATTGCTGGCCCATTGACGCAGCTCGAAGCCTGCAGATGCTAGGATGGCTCGTAACTTGTCGACCAGGTGCCTCGCCTCAGCAATGGTGGGGACGCTCTGTAGGCAGTTGTCTACATAAAAGCACTTCTCGACTGAGCTCCTCACCTCTTCATCTGGCTGACTATGGTCGATGACGTGGCGCTGAAGGGCAAACGTAGCACAGCAGGGGCTACACGTCGTTCCAAAAGGTAACACTTGCCACTCGTACACCGCAGGAGGATCTTGACTGCTGTCTCGCCAAACAAATCTGAGCAGGTCTCGATCTCCTGGTAGGAGTCGAACCTGGTGGAACATGCCCTTGATATCTCCACTGATTGCTACTGCATGCTCTCGGAAGCGTAGCAGGACTCCCAGGAGAGATGCTCCTAAGGTCGGCCCAGGCAACAGATAGTCATTGAGATTTTGCCCTCGATACTGAAATGAGCAGTTGAACACCAGTCTGTTCTTGCCATTATGGCTTACCATGTGGTGAGGAATGTACCACGACTCACGACCTTCCTCTACTGGTACTTCAGGGTCACACTTGATGACAGAGCCTGCCTTGATCTGCTTTTCCATCTCCACTTTGTAGGCTTCAGCCTGCATAGGGTTCTTGGCCAATCTCCTTTCTATATTCCGTAGACTGTGCATGACGTCTTCTTTAGTAGCTTGAAGGAGTGGCATGTCTTTCCGGCGTAACAGCGGGGTTGCATAACGGAGTATGTCGTTAACCTGTACTCTGATGGTTTTGGTCTCCAGGGTACCGATGGCCTCTTGGTCCCCCCTCGAACGTGTGACTAGTTTCTCGCTTCTGAAAGGAAGAGTGTCGACCTGCCACAACATCTCGACATGCTTCGTCAGCTCACTCACTTGTGGTGATACTGATGTGAAAAAACACTGCTGTGGTTGTGCGAGATGATAGACAACACTGGCTGGGCCTTGCAGTGTCCAGCATAGCCTTGTGTGAATGGCAGCCGGTCCCCCTTTTGGGCCTAACCTGACTCGTTCAATGGGGGTGACGAGATGTGGGTGGTCACTTCCAATGAGAAGCAGAGGCTTCACATTTGTGAGGGTCCGGTGGGGAGGCCAATGAGGTGCTTATACCTATCCCGGAGTAGCTCCATAGGGTAGTTATGATCTGCTAGTCCAATGTGAGCAGTGGTGAAAGCACCTACAATCTTGAACCTGGTCTTCGGCTTAGCAGGAGAGGAAATGGAGAAGGAGACTGATGCACCACGAAGGGTCTGCACATCCTGTCTGATTGTGCGTAGTGGCAAGTCCTCTGGGGTCCCTTGCACACCTAACTTCTCTACAGCCTCTGGCAGCAGCATAGTTCTCTCTGAACCGTCATCCAGTATGGCATAGGTGTTGATGAATCGATCCTTATAATGGATGCGGACTTTGACGACTTTCAGAAGGACTTGACTGCCTTCAGCGGGTCTGTCCAGGTACAGTACCTCAGTCGTGGCCCTCATGCCATGGTTCTGCGACGTTGGTGCTGAGTCTGTCTCCTTAGGTGGCCTCAAGTTCACATCATGCAGCACCAGATATTTCCCTTGGCAGAGGCCACATGTCTTCTTTAAGTTGCACTGCGCTGCCTGGTGCGGCCGTGCACAGCGCCAACACCTCTTATTGGTTCTTATCCATGCTGTCAGCTGTTCTTTGTTCAGCTTGGTTACTGCTGTACACTGACTGAGGTAGTGGTCCTCATTATTACAGTACGGACAGTATGGCTTACTCTTGTTCCCTTTGAAGGAGTTACCTGGAACTTGAGAGTCTGGTTTCTTCCAAGTGTCCTTGGCACCATGGAGCACAGTGGTGTGGTGCTTGCCCTGCCGTCCCTCAGGTCTGGATGATGACTCCCACGATCCCTTCACAGCTAACTGTCCTTCGGAGTCCTGGCACCAGGACTCATATTTCAGCCACTCTGCGAGATCTATAAGGTTGTGAGTTCTTGAGCCCTGACGGAACATGCAGCGGCGGAAATCTGCTCTCTGTTCAGGCGGCAGCTTACTCAGCAGACGAGCAACATGTGAACCACACTGTAGCTCCACTTCTCCCTCAGACCCTATGGTTCTCAGCATTCCCACTCAGAGGTCGCGTTAACCGAATATTTTCCGTCTATGACGGATTTTTTTTAACAATGACGGACAAATCTGAAAGCAGTCCGTCATTTTGACAGATTAGAACAAACTCAGAACAGCGCCTAAGTTTACCCGCAGCGAGGTTCCGGTGTTATGCCGTGTTATGCATGCCCTCCAAAAAGGAAATCATACCGTTTCCAAACCTAACTGTGCCGTACAAATCATTGATATGTCTGTTTTGGCTTTACGCTGTGCACGCTCCCGCGAGGTGCAGCAGCCATGCCTATATTGGCGCATGTGAACTGTCCCCCCCGTTGACAGTTCACGAGCATGCTTCCCCCCCCCCCCGTCAGAGTTGTGTAAAGGCCGACGGGTAATTCTGGATTTTGACAGAAGTTTTACGATCCTGTCCGTCAAAATGACGGGCAGCGAAAAAGTCTAGCGCAACCTCTGTTCCCACTAATGACTGGATCTGAAGAGCAAACTTCTCGAAGGCAGCAACGTCTCCCCGCTTAATGTCCGGTGAGTCCATCACAGCAGCAATACGCTTCAGCGCTATCTGATGTGGTTGGCCAAACTTATCGTTCAGGGCAGCCATAGTGTCTGAGAAGGGCGTTGGAGAGTTGAGGTAAGCATCTGCTATTAACCTGGCTTCTTCTAGTTTCACCAACACCTGATACTTGAACAGCTCTGTTGCACAGGGTGGTAGGAGGTTCTCCAAGGAGATCTTGTGCCGTGCAA